ATGGGAAACAAATCTCACCATCCCAGTTTCCTGATGTCAGTTTAGAGCAGATGGTTGGCATGTCCAAGTAAGCTATGATCCTTGGAGGTGGCAGCTTTGGTCTGGGAGACATCTTGATTCGTATGGAATTTTAGCAGGCAAAAGTCCACTCCTGGGCAAAGGATCCTGCATACCAACAGTTTCTCTTTTCCATGGGAAACAAATCTCACCATCCCAGTTTCCAGAAATCAGTTAGGAAAAGGCGTTTGGCACTTCAATGGCTGCCAGGCTTCTAGATGGTGGCTGTTTTGTTCTGGGAGAAATCCTGTGCTGTGTGGAATTTCAGCAGGGAGAAGCCCAGTCCCAGCTACTTACTCCTGGAAAGAAATGGTAGCTCTTTTCCATGGGAATCAAATCTCGCCATCCCTGTTTCCTGATGTCAGTTAGGAGGAGGCGTTTGGCACTCTAATGACAGCCACTTCAAGGCTGTGGGTTCTTTGGTCCAGCAGAAATCCAGCTCCACGTGGAATTTTAGAAGGCAAATCTCACTCCTGGCCAAAGGACACTGGATAAGAGGTGCTGCATCCTTGCAGGCACAGACACAACAGGACTGGTTTAGGAGCCCCTGTTTGCATTGCTCAGAGCAGGCATCAGCACCCCCATGGTGCTGGTGTGGGGAGATGGACTCGAGTGAGCACAAGTGCCATCAGCCCCTGGGGCCAGGAAGGGCTGGGGGACGGGAGGGAAACAACTCAGGTTTATCGTGGCCTCCAAAGTCAGCCAGAAAATTTGTTCACATGAGCTGTGAGTTTCCTGTCCCACTGCAGACGTTGTTTCTCCGAGCCAGGGCTGCCTCGCAGCCACCCCCAAACTGCCCTGAGCATTTCCTTTGCTTCACCTTTGCTTTCTCTAATCTTCCCTGATCCAGATTTCTTCCTCTTGCCCATCTCTGTTCCCATCCCTGCAAAGAGCCCATCCCTGTTTGCCCTTTCCTCTCTGGCACCTCTCCACATTTCGGTTCCTGAGTTGGCACCACAGCAACATCCCTTGGGGTGTAGGATCATCCTACAAGTGCTTCAGGAATTGTCTGCAGAGTCCTGCAGTGCCTCATGCTGCTCCCTTGCCAGAGGCACCACAGGCTAGGGGGGAACACCTGGGCTGGTGTGTCTGGGTGTGGGGCTCCCTGATCTGGGCAATGAGGAAGGGCTGGAAAGGCTCTGCAGGACTGATAGGATGGGCTTTGGTGCTGTGATGAGAAGTGGAGGGACCTGCACTGCTGGACCTTCTGAAAAGGAAGCCCAGGGCTCATCCTGCAACTGCTCCAGGGGTGGTTTCAGAGAATCACAGAATCAGCCAGGCTGGAAAAGACCTTGGAGATCATCAAGTCCAACCTGTGCCATGACACCACCTTGTCTCCCCTGAGCCTCCTCTTCTCCAGGGTAAACAACCCTAGTTCCCTCAGCCACTCCTCACAGGACGTGTGTTCCAGATTCCTCACCAGCCTTGTTTCCCTTCTCTGGACACGCTCCAGCCCTTCCATGTCCTTCCTAAATTATGGGGCCCAGAACTGGACACAGTAAACTAGGTGCAGCCTCACCAGTGCCAAGCATAGGGGAAGAATCACTGCCCTGGTCATGCTGGACACACCATTCCTGATCCAGGCCAGGTGCCATTGGCCTTCCTGGCCAGCTGGGCACACTGCTGGCTCATGTCCAGCCTGCTGACCATCCGTGCCCCCAGGACCCTTTCTGGCCGGGCTGCTGTCCAGCCACTCTGTCCCCAGCCTGGAGCACTGCAAGGGTTGTTGTGGCTAAAGTGCAGGACCCAGCACTTGGTCTTGTTAAACCTCACCTTGTCGGATTTGGGCCCTGGATCCAGCCTGTCCAGGTCTCTCTGCAGAGCCCGCCTGCCTTCCATGAGATTGACACTCGCACCCAGTTTTGTGTCATTTGCAAATTTGCTGATGATGCACTGAATGCCCTTATCCAGATCATCAATGCAGATATTGAAATCCACGCTGGCTGGCTCTGATCCCTCAGCCATCCTGTAGGTGCCCTGTGATGGCACTCAAGGTGATCTGTTCCATCACCTCGCTGGGCACCCAGGTCAGGCTGACAGACCTGGAGTTCCCCAGATCCTCCCTCCAGCCCTTCTTAGGGATGGGCTCACATTGGCACCTCCAGTCCTCTGGGACCTCTCTAGTGAGCCAGGACTGATGATAAATGATGGAAAGCAGCTTGAGGAGTTCCTCCACCAGCTCCCTCATCCCCCAAGGATGGATCTCATCTAGTCCCAGAGACAGCTGTGAGCATCTGAGTGGCTCAGCAGGTCCCCAGCTGCTTCCTCCTGGATTACAGGGGGTCTGTTCTGCTCCCTGTCCCCATCTACCAGCTCAGGAGAACACTTGTCCTGAGGACAGCCTGACTTATTGTTGAAAACTGAGGCAAAGAAGGGGTTAAGTAGCTCATCCTTTTCCTCATTCATCTCTGGTAACCATATCACCCCCAATAAACAATGGAGGTTCTCCTTGTTCCTCCTATTGCCATTAAAGTATCGATGAAAACATTTTTGTTATCCTTCACAGACATGGCCATATTCAGTCTTAATTGAGCTTTCACCTCTAATTTTCTTTTTGCTTGACCTAACATCCTTTTACATTTCCTGAGTTGCCTGCCCCTCTTTCCAAAGATTATGCACCCTCTTTTTTTCCCCTGAGTGCCTGAAAAAAAGCTTCATGCCCAGCCAGACCAAACGTTTTCCTAGCTTACTCACTTTTTGGGACACAGGGACAAGCTGTTCCTTCTCCTTCAAAATTTCTTTATTGAAGTGTGTCCCTCCTTCCTGGAATCCTTGGTTTTAAAGGTCTGTTTCCCTTAAAAAGATCAATACCTGATTTGGTACTCACCAAATCTGCATCCTGAGTACGCCAAATTCTGCTCTAAGTCCAGTGTAGAAGTTTTGTTGATGCCCCTGCTTCTTTCACAGAATATTTAAAAACTCAATAATTTCATGGTCGCTGTACCCTAAACAGCCTCTGACCACCACTTGTCCCACCAGCCCTTCTCTGTTTGTGAACAGCAGGTGACAGAGCTTTCCTTGGGAGTGGGAAGAGAAGGAAAACTCCCCAAAGTTCAGCCTGGAAGGTTCAGCCTGGAGGTGAGGAAACAGAAAATTCCTTCCCAGAGCAGAATTTTGGTGGCTGAGGTGTCCCGGCATGAGACTGAGCCATGCCATGACTCTGTGTGCCAGTGTGAAAAATGTATGTGTGATTCATGTCACGGGGCGATATCAGAAGTAAAACCATGCGAATGCTGTATGCTAAGTGGAAATAGTGCCTGGGATGATTATAAAAATCAACTGTAAGAAAATTAAATAAAGCATGGAACAAAAAGATATGAGAAATTGTATTTATCATTACCTAAGAGAAATCACAGCTATGTTTATTTGTGGTTATGTCTGCTTGCATGAAAATAAGGAACTTGCAGTCATATTCACTTTCATGTAACAAAAATTAAGAAAGTTGTGAAAATTGTACTAAGCAAATAACTATAGTTATATAAATGGCTAAAAACTATGTATGCAAAAACAAAAGGTCAGGAAAAAAACACTGAGGAAAACAGCGAGCCTTCATCCAAAAGACCACCGGAAAAGGGCAAACTACCCCCTAGCAAGAGCCAATACCTGCACAGAAGATGACCATCAATGTGAAATCAAGGAAACAAAAGAAGGAGAGGGTTACCAAGAAAACAAAAACTCAGACTGTATAAAAAAGCTGAACTAATGCTATGTGTTGTGCATCCTGATAGAGCAGTGACTCCCCAGTGCACCCAGTGATGTTTGCTTGCTGCTTTTTCTATTAATAAATAATAATTGGAAAGATCATAATTCCTTCTGAGTTTATAACAATACTATACTTATCTATCTCTAAACTTATCCACCTGATGAGCTTTTTCTTCTTTTTTCTTGTCTACTCAGCATTAAGCAACTACTTAACTATATACTAGCCATTACATAGTATAAAATGTTATATCAGGTTATAAAGGTATAAAAGTTATGATTCAGATTATATAGGTATAAAAAGGTGTGATTCAGGTTATATAGGTATCAGGGAATATAGATCTTATAAGTACGTATTATATTATTAACTTTTCACAAATACTAAAATGAATGATGTATGTATAATGTTGGAAAACCTTCTGTATGAATATAGTTTCTTTTAGTTCTGCTATTAATAAAACTTAGAAATAGTAGTGTGATAAATATATATTTTTCTTAGACTATAACATGGTAATGTAAAAAGCTTTTGTTCATGTAACGAACTCAGAGAATGGTAAAAAGATAATCAGGAAATTCTTCACATTCTTGGATTACCTGCATGAAGACAGGGGTGAAGAACACCAAAACCAGGGAAGGAATTTACTGATCTCTGTTATCAGGGAGTACTGACAGGATGGAGCCAGCAGGAGAAATTTAAAAAAAAGTTGATTTACAGGTTGGGGAGGATGATTTTGAATAGTGCATGAAGGTCTATGAATATGCAACATGTTGATGCATTTAACAAAGTGTTTTCTGAGGTAGTGTGTGCTCTTGGTTGAAGGCCAAGCACCCGGCCGTAAATTCTTTTGCTTTATTGTCTCTTACTGTCTTTCATCAAATCTTTTAAAATCTATCAGGAAAGTGAACCTCGTTTTTCATATGGAGAAGCGCTTAACAACACGGGGGTTCACAGTAGAACGGGGGTCACCCATTTATTCCCTATACAGGAGGGAATTCCCCTTCCCCTCAGACCTCTCCCGCTTTCCCAACGACGGCCAATGTCCCTCTGTGCCCCCTTGACCGGAGAACACAGCGACATCCCCAACCCGCCCAGTCCCCCGGGCAGCTCCGAGACCTCTTTGGTGTCCAAGGGAGACGAGGAAGCCCCCCGGCCGCCGCTCCCTCCGGCCGGACCGCCCCACGCCAGGCTCTGAGGGGGCGCCGCCACTTCCCGCCCTTCGCGTCCGCCCTCAGCGCCCGCCGAGAGCTGCCGGCGATGGAGTCCGTCCGCCCGCCCTTATATCGGGGCCATGGAGAAGGAAAACCGGTCTAAATTGTTCATTCCGCCGCACCTGAGCGCGGGGCAGTGGTCTGTGGGCAGATCCCAGGTGAGTGCGAGGCCGCTGAGGGCGGCACCCACCCCCCCGCTTCGGGCCGCCTCCTCGGGCTGTGCTGCTCTGGAGGCTGGGGAGGGGGCGAGGGGAAACCGCAGGGACCCTTCCTGGGGACACGGGGACAGAGCTGTGCCCGGGGAGTGCCCCGGCAGAGCCTCGAGTACACACACACACGGGTGGGGCACGATGGCTCCTGCCCTGGACTCATTTCTGTGGGTATGCCTAGACTGCTGCCGGGGGAACATCTTCGGTTTGAACGTCAAAGACTTTTGCTGTTATTTTCTGTCACAACCGTGAAAAACGAGGTTCAATTTCCTGGTAGATTTGAAAATATTTAATAAAAGACAATAAGAGACAACAAAGCTGTGATAATTAATAAATAATCGTGTTAATCACAAAAGTATTGAAGTTTGTATAAACCACAATAATAAGGTCTGAAGTGAAGCATGGACACTAGATAAAGGAAAATATATGATGAAATAATTCTGTTTTAAATCCCCTTGTTATGAATATTATGTTTTCCAAATAAGTTGTACCTACTACCAGCTTGCAAAATCAGACTTCCCGATAGCCCTTCCTGCCTTTGTCTGACCAATGCTGCCTATCTCAAGGACCAGACTTCCAGACTTCTCTGGTGGTTATCTACAAAGACCAGATGGTTATCTGTGAGACTGACTATTGCCCAGAGACTTTGAGAATTGGGATAAGGATGTTTATTCCACCACCACTGCTTACCTGGCAAAATTATGACAGCAAAAAACCAAAAATTATTGATTACGAGAGACCATACTATAAGAAGAGGCCTCAAACCAAGGTTTGATGGAGCATGGAGTGGGCAGTGACCCCTCACGTTCCGCAGCTCTGCTTGATCCGTCTATTTCAAATAAAGCAATCTAAATTGTTGAATATCTAGACTATTGTTTCTCATTTATAACAAAGCAAAAGGTTACAACGGCCAGGTGTTTGGCATTCCACCAAGAGCACACACTAAATCAGAAAGCACTTCCTTAAATGCATCAACCTGATGCATAATCATAAACCTCTCATGCATTATTCAAAGTCACTCCCCCAACCTGTAAATCAACATATTTTACTTTTTAAATTTTTTTCTTTGTGGCTCCTTCTTGTCAGCCCACTCCATGATAATGGACATCAATAAATTCCTTCCCTTCTTGCTAGAAGTAGGAAAAATGGCTCCTCCAGCTGAGATTGCTTCAAGGCCTTTTAAAGCTAAACACACCAATAAAAGCTTTACACCTATATTATTTATACTTTTGATCCAATAATAGATTCCCATGACCCTTAGAGTGACTTTCAACTGACCAATCCAAAGGTAACTACCTAAGTTCTGTGAAGAAGAAGGAAGAGAAGAAGATGAACAAGAAGAAAAGACATCATCCAAAATTCTCTATCTTATCCCCTAACTACCACTATACTATAAAAACCTCAAATTTAAAACCCATCACCCAGTGAAAACACACCATATAACTCACTACACATTTGTGATTTCTAACTTATTATTCATATTTACAAGTCTTCTCCAAGGTTTCAGGTCCAGAGCAGTGTTTTCAAGGGAGTCTGTGCCAGGAAGCACAGAAAGCTCAAAAACTTCAGATTCTTGAGATCCAACACAACAGTATTAATTAGATAGTATTTGAGATTAAATTGTGGAATCCATTTTAAAAGAATACAGAAACAATGAATGACTTGTTCTCAAAACTCTACAATGAGGCTGAGAAGATCAAGCAGTGGAAACTGAGTATGGAATCAGAACTAAACCATAAAGAAAGAAAAATCCAAGAAAATAGAAAGCTTATTGAAGCACAGAATAAAGCCATTCAAGAAGTGCAGGCCAGTATTGTATAATATACATTAAGTAGATGAAGTTAAGCTCTTCCTGATTTAGTATGACAATATTATTGATCCAATTAAATATTAAAGGATGTTGCAGTTTGGTTTGTGCCTGGATGTCTTGGTTTAATTTTGATTTCCCGGCCAACGCACCAAAATTAATGTCTTTGTTTTGAGTTGCCAATTTAAATAAACTTATTTTTCCTGTTGTGAGACAGAACCAGGAGCAAAAGAGCAAGGCAGGCCTAAAACTTGAGAGAGTATAAAAGAAAATTTATTAACTACACAAACAAAGAGAAAGGAAAAAAAAAATCAGAATAAGATTTTTTCAGATCACTCCTTCCCTCCCTCTCCCAATCTTCATAACAAAAAACCAAACATATAACAAATACTTCTGTCAGTCCCCAGTTTAGTCTCTCTCAGTTCACTTCTGGAGAGAGAAGCCTCTTTTTATTGAAGTTGTAGGGATTTTTCCCAAAAGAAGGAAAAAGACAGTTGTCTCGTGGTTTTATCTTTCACGATTTGCATCCGCCCAGGAACCTGCAACCGTGACGCTCCTCCCAACTCTACAGCTGTCCCAAAGTTGTAGATGTGGGCCATATCTGTCCCATGGGGTATTACTTTTAAGAATGAAATGTTCGACAGCAAAGATTCTCTCTGTCTCCTTTCTCTCTGCTCAGGCTTCATCTTCAGAAAACCGAAATCCCCTTCTTTTCTCAGGGCAGAAATTCTCAACACAGGTGCACTTTAGTCAAATCATCTATTAAATGGAACATTTCCATCCCCCCATGTCTCTTTCCATGGTTTATAGGAATATTCAGTACATCAGTTCATCCCTACAATTTTACAAAAAAATTTTCAGCCATTTCAGCATCTTCTCATTCTCCTTCCATCTTAAAAACGTAGCTCTTACGTCACTGACTTCAGAAATCTTCTTATTTCCTTTCATATTCAAAGGAAAGGCTGGAGGCTTTGCAAATCTTATCTGAGCAGTAAAGAGTTAAAGTTTAACACAACTACAAAAGTTGGGCCAGGCTCAGGCCGCACTGGGGAGGGCGGCTGAGGTGTTAATCAGCCTTTCTGGGGCTGGGCTGCAGCCCCACACTGCTCATGGCCACCCGGGCAGGCCCGGCCCATCCAACAGTAGCAAGAGTCGGCCTCCCCTCCCACGCCAGAGCCGCAGGCCCGTGGAGGAGGAAGCTGTGAAGGTCTTATCACACAACTTTTTCTCCCCCTGGCCATCGGGTCCCCCTCGTTGGCAAAGGGGGCCCAAGCGGCTTCCCGAGCCTCCCCCCCCGTATGGGGGAGGGGAAAGCTCAGGTTGGTGTTACCTGCTCAGCAGCCAGAAAGAAAAAGAGACTCAGTTCCGGATTGCCTCCTTCAAAATGTGTGTTCACGGAGCAAACTAACTTTCTCTAATTGGCTGTTGCAGGTGTCCCAACCCCCCACAGAGGAAATTCCCTTAGGAAGAACCTCTTTCTGAGTTTCTTCTTCCTAAGTCAACCTATCACACTGGTTAAAATGATTATTTTGAGAAGGTGTGTGCACCTGTCCTGTATGAGTGTGTGTATGAAGACTATATCTGTAAGTGTCTCAGTTGTTGGTAAATCATTGTTCATTATTCTGCCTTTCATGCAAAAAATGACTCAGCATGTAATACCAGTTAAATAGATTGCTGTCTACTGATACCCAAAATTACTTTTTCATGGGGGATTTGAGAAGTCAAAGCATATTTCTAATATATTTTTCAATAACAGTGTCTTTTGGTGTTTTTTCCCTATGAAATTAGTTTAAAAATTATAAAGTCCATTTTGTTGGGGTTGAATTGTTCCCTTTTCTTTCTGTAGAATTTTTCCCATTGTTATGCTAAGTATTTGTGGCTACACCTTAGTAGCAATAGTTTTCTCTCGCAGGGGTGTGGGGGATAGGGGGACACTGGAAAAGGAAAGGTGGGACAGGGGTCTGGGCTCTCTGGCTCTCGTTCTCTCACTCACTCGTGGAGTGGAAGGAAGATGGCCGGGACTCCGATCTAGCATCTTCCTCGCCATCCCAGCACCAGGAGCCACATTCCCTGCCATTGAACACCGCTCTGCTGCTCTCCCATTTCATCCTACTACCTCTGGGCACTCTGCCAAGCACCACGACCGACACCGTGAGGGGGGAGTCGCTCCTCCATCCCTCTCACCCCTGGGCCACTGCCACCATCACCCAGCCCTCTGCGACTGCACGGGACCTGCCCTGGCCCCATCACTGGTAACTGAGCACAGGGAGAGGGAGCCTGTAGCCAGAAAGGGACTGGAACTGAGCTATACTGTTCTGTTTTGTTGCCAATTTTTATAGCTGTTGTTGTTTCTATTATTTGCCTTGTTAGATATATTAGTAAAGAACTGTTATTCCTATCCCCATATCTTCTGCTTGAAAGCCTCTGATTTGAAACTATAAGAATTAGAAGGAAGGGGGTTGCACTCTGCATCTCAGGACCGGGGTTCTCGCCTTTCCTTAGCAAATACCTGTCTTTCAAACCAAGACATGAACATATTTTAAAAACCTCAATAATTTAAACTTTATTAAATGATCCAATTGTCTTGGCTTGTTCAGTTATGCAAGAAGAATTCTAGTTACTTATTATACCTTTGGGTTATGATATTTTTTTTCCCCACAAATGTGTAACTGCTGCAAACAGGAAATGCCAGCTCTGGAAATTTGTTACATTTTGTTAAATTTGTTTAAATTTAAATGTGTGCTGAGAATTTAGAGTAGATTCTACTGCCTAAAAACAAGCACTTCCTATCTCTTAACATATTCACAATATCTGGATGGCACTGAAAACCTTCAGTGAGCTGAGCAGACTTGAGGAGAGCTGCACTGCTCTGGAGTGGCTGTCACTGCTCATCGGGGTTTTGACACTGCCTCAAACCTGTCTCAGTGTTTAGGCACCCACATAGCTCCCAGGCTTGCAACCTTTCAGCAAACAATTTGACTGGCTTCAAAAGTCCTCTGGATTTAGCATTACAAACCTTATGTTTGTTAGACCTGTGGCTTCACTTCTAGCTTTGTGAGCCACTTAAAATTCACTCCTCATTTGAAGAACCACATCCAGCCAACCTCAACTGGAGAACACATCTGGGACAGCATGAGAACTTTTCTGTGAATTTAGAACAAGCTGGAAGTACTCTCATAAATATCATATACTTTCATAAATCAAAAATAAAAAAGCATTTACATTTGCTGGTCTTCTCTGTGAATTGAGTGCAAGTTTCCTTGAGCAGAGTACACAGATATATTGAAGCAGTGGCTCTACAGGAGGGAAAATTAACATATTTTCACAGAAGTGCACAATATTTTATACTAAGTATAAATACATACTTAAATATAGATATTTAATATATAAATATTTTATACTAAGTACCTAAGGAGTAATAATGTAAATGACCTTCAAAATTTAACTGCTATATGAAACTGCCCACATGAAAACTGCACAAAAATATGTATTTGGTTGCATTACTTACTCTTTCAAGTCATCTTCATTTTCACATATCGCATCTTTCAGTTTCAAATGTGTCTTGGTTTGAAAGACAGGTATTTGCTAAGGAAAGGCGAGAACCCCGGTCCTGAGATGCAGAGTGCAACCCCCTTCCTTCTAATTCTTATAGTTTCAAATCAGAGGCTTTCAGGCAGAAGATATGGGGATAGGAATAACAGTTCTTTACTAATATATCTAACAAGGCAAATAATAGAAACAACAACAGCTATAAAAATTGGCAACAAAACAGAACAGTATAGCTCAGTTCCAGTCCCTTTCTGGCTACAGGCTCCCTCTCCCTGTGCTCAGTTACCAGTGATGGGGCCAGGGCAGGTCCCGCACAGTCGCAGAGGGCTGGGTGATGGCGGCAACGGCCCAGGGGTGAGAGGGATGGAGGAGCGACTCCCCCCTCACGGTGTCGGTCGTGGTGCTTGGCAGAGTGCCCAGAGGTAGTAGGATGAAATGGGAGAGCAGCAGAGCGGTGTTCAATGGCAGGGAATGTGGCTCCTGGTGCTGGGATGGCGAGGAAGATGCTAGATCGGAGTCCCGGCCATCTTCCTTCCACTCCACGAGTGAGTGAGAGAACGAGAGCCAGAGAGCCCAGACCCCTGTCCCACCTTTCCTTTTCCAGTGTCCCCCTATCCCCCACACCCCTGCGAGAGAAAACTATTGCTACTAAGGTGTAGCCACAAATACTTAGCATAACAATGGGAAAAATTCCACAGAAAGAAAAGGGAACAATTCAACCCCCAACAACAGTGAATCTATTCATGTGAAAAATAGAAAGTCTCCAAATTATATTCCTGTGGAAGTCAACATGGTGGAAAAGAAAAATATGTCTCCTTGAGTACCTGCAGGAAGCCCCTTGGGCAGTCCAACATTGAAGTTTTGTAACTCCTAAGAGTGAATTTTTCTTCTTGCATTTTTCTGCTTGTATTTCTTACTTCTCTGCAGATGCTTAATTTTTTTTCCTGAAATAAGCAGGGATTTTAAAGGGTGATACCATTCCATGGAGATATTAGACAGCAATTTATGGAAGGGCTCCCAATGTGTCATTTTTCTTGAACAGTTGTTGCTTTATATCTCTAGAATTGTTTTACTTAGTCTTCAAAAGTGTCCATTTGTAAAACACTTCTTTCTCTATGGAAGGAAAAAAGGATTATATAGCTGTAAAAATTGTTGAAGTATCAAAGTATGCCTGACTGCAGAACTTACCCTTCTTCCCTGTCAGCTTGTGGTTTTCATATTGGAACAATAGAATCCACTACCATTTTGATGTTATTTTCTAAGAAAGGCCTGCATTAGACTATTGCAATGTTTCTCATTTTAACTTCTAGTGAAATTACTATTTTAAGTAACACCAATCTTGATATCGCTGTCAATCTTTCTCTGAAAGCCTTTTCCTGCAGTTTTGTTTGCTTCCATTTTCTTAGATGTTTGATACAGTCCACGTGTAGTGGCTACAGTTCACAATAACCAGAATTTCTGCAGATAAAGAACAATGTGCCATGAAACTCAACTCTTCCACAGCTTCCTGTTCATTCTCCTAGTCTGGGAACCAAAAAAGAATATTTCCACCCCACCCCACTTCATTTGGATTGAGAGGAATGTCGAATTTGTCTTTACAAATGAGGTGTGGATCTGCTTGCAGATAAGACTAGCACTGAGAGATAAAAGAAACAATGGGATGGATTCCACTGATTGATTAATGGGAAAAGTTATTTGCCTTTACCAACAAACTGTAGGTCTGCTGATAAATTAAATCGGATATCGAAGATGACAGAAGCAACGGGGAAAAACTATGAATTCTATAAGAATTAAAAATTCAAAGGGAGGGTTATACATTAGAAGAGAATTTCAGGTATCAGGCTTTCTGGGAAGTCTGTACCTCTCAAGTACCTCAGCCAATGGGGAAAGACAGAGGGAAATGCGGCCGGGAAAATAAGATAAAAAGGAGGCTGCGTCCTCCAAAAATTTGAGAGATCCCAGGGGAATGTCCCATGGCCTCTCCCTTTATTCGAATAAAGCAAAAAGGACTCCTCTGTCTCCTTTTTGGACATAAACCTCTGGTGTTTGTGGATTAATTTTCCTGACAGGGTCTTTGCATTGTGTTTGGATGGAAAGATAATAGTTCCACCACATCTCTCAGGTGTCTCCTTGGACACTCAGACTGTAAACTGGGTCATGAGTTTGGGTTTCGATTCTATACTTATCCCATAAAATAGAATTTAAAAATATAAAACTTTTCCTTCCTCCAACAGATAAACTGCAAAGTGGAAGAAGCATAAACCTGCCTTCAGAGAAGAGCACAAGGAAAAAGCAAAAAGTACTTCTCCAGCTGGATTCTCAGCCAGACAGCTCTGATGTCCTGGTAAGAGTCAGAGAGCTGAGCAGTTCTTAAACCAAACACTTAATCAGACTGTTTACAGAAACGAATGGATGGCTTTATTTTCCTTCCTAGACACCAGCTCCATGCCATGGGAAATCTCCAGGCTCTGCACTGAAACTCAAACCCATGAGGAGAATGTGCGAGGCAGGGTGGACTGGTGCGAGGACGCGTTTGGCAGAGTCAATGGCGCCGGAAGCAGGCGGTGACCGCGCAAGTGGCAGCAGGCAGCGGCGGTGACGCCGCTCTCTCGGCCAGGGCCCTGCCACGGCCTCCATCTTGATCGTGGCGGAAGCCCTACCCGGCTCCTGCAGAGTCCCAACATGCTGGCGCTACCGCCATCTTGAGAAGAGCATGCGCGGACGAAAGAGGGGGGGTTGGGGGGAGGAGGGGGGCAGCCCTGTTCCGACCCCGGTTGCAGGCCCGCTTCCCCTCCTCCGTGACACACTGCGACCCTGCCTTTCCCACCAGCCGAAACCAGCTCTCCTGGCTGCCTCTGCTGCTGTCATCCTTCTCAGCCTTCGCGTCCCTTTGCACCCCGAACTCTCCTTCACCCCTCCCTCAATTTACAGACACTGCTCCGCTAGCAACTTGCTCCCACGCCTCGCTCCCTTCCCACGCTCGGCAGCTGCGGAGCCTCCCCCCCCCCGCTGCCGTCACCGCTTCCCTACCCCGGTCACTCAAGCAGCAGTGAGGAGTTGCGCGCTAGCTCGGGGGATGGCTGCAGTACCGCAGCACGTCCAAAAGGCGGCAGCACTGCCTCTGAGCTCAGCCTGGGGCTGAGACATGCTTTGGGGACAACCAGAGAAGGGGCGGAAAAAAGAGCAAGTCCCATCCCCTTCAAAAAATCCTCTAAAATGAATGCCCCAAATAAACCCTACCAAAAGGAAAAATACCCTGCCTCTAACTAAATGAAAACCAAAAAGCCCTTCAGATATTAAAGAAAATAATATGTTTTTCCATATTTATATTTGTATTCATAAATTAGACATTTTCAATTTGGTATTATAGTAACATATATAAAATATTATTTATATTATTCATTATGTATATCTTTATATATTTATATTACTAATATTTCTATTTTATGTGTATGTATATCTATACCTTTATATATTTACTATATATTTGTATGTTTTAATATTTTAATATTATTTACAATAAAGCCCTGGCTCTAAACAAATAAAAACTGAAAAAAACCTTTATTTTAAACTATATTTAAATGTATTTTTCTATTTATATTTTTCATATTTATATCCGTAATCCATATTTACATTATATCTATATTATATATATTACATATTATCATATACCATAATAATATATATGCAATATTATTTATATTATCTACTACATATAATATACATTTATATTTCATATTTATATCTATATACGTATATATTATCTATTTATAAGGATATATGCATATTTTTATTATGTTTGTATATTTATATGTTTATGTGTATATTATTTGTATTTACATTATTTATTTTAAAATCCTGCCTCTAACCAAAACCAAAAAAACACCTTTATTTTAAATATCTTTCATATTTATATTTATTATTTAGATTTATACATTCTAGAATAATATATAAATAATTTTTATACTATATTTATTATATATTACTTATATTTATATTTTATATTTCTGTAATAAACACATATAGATATCTATTTTAAAATATTATTTATATTTTCTATTTCTATTATTTATTAAACCCCTCTGTCTCTTACCAAATAAAAACCATGAAAACATTAATTTTAAACTATATTTAAATATTTTTTATACTTATATTTTTCATGTACTCTACACTCACCCCTCCCTGTGAATGTTCTGGCACCATTGGGTCCCTCTGGGGAGGGCACCCGGCATGACCCCCCCCATTGCCCACTCACCTGCTCCTCCAGCGCAGCGTGGCTCCCTCTCCCAGGGACCTTGGGGTGCCCCAAACGTCATCAGAGCTCCCGAGTCTCCAACCCCTCCCCTCAGCCTTTTTTCCTCACCCCAAAGAAGGCACAGAATGACTCAAACTGCCCTGGACAGAAGCACGGCACTTTATTGGAACCCTTTCCACGTATACATCCCCCAAAAAGGGGATTCTGTTGCAACAGGAAAGGGGAGGCAGCCCCCAGAAGGGCTGAAGTTCCTCCTCAGTCCCACAAACACAGGTGACAAGAGGCAGAAAGAGAGAGTGGCAGCAGAGGGGACACAGGATGAAAATGAAGATCAGGGTGAAGGATAAAATTGAACAAAAAAAAAAGCAAACAAAAAAACCTGAGATGATGGATGAGCAGCACACAGAGAGGGATTTAAAAAGAACAGGGACAGCGAATGGGACACAAGGATCCCATGGGAAACAATGGCAAAGGGAGCACCACGGAGCCACAGAGAATAAAACAGGAACACAAGTGAGGTAAAAAGGAAAACCCCAAAACCAAAACCACAAAAAAGGGAGATCACTGTGAGGCTGGAGGACACAACTGTATTGTTATCAGAATCTGCACTCACAGACCCACTGCAGGAGCTCCAGCCCTCCCGCCACTGCTGCATGGCTCACTCGCTTGGTCAACACAGCTGAAAGTTAAGTGTGAGAATTTGA